CGTTCTCGAGTTTAAGCGAGACTAACAAACAGCATTTCATTTTTATATATATATAAAGATAATAATAATATAAATATTTTATTTCCACAAAAAAAACATTGTATAAACTATATAAAACAAAATAAATATTTTTATTCTACGACTCATTCGGAACGCAGATTCATCACATGAAGAATGAGTAAGAAACTTGTGTGTTGCTCTTTCGAATAGATGTTATTTAAAATAAATAATTACACAGTAACAAGTAAGAGGCATGTGATAATCAATATAGAAACCGTCACTCATTCTTAGTGCAATCAGATAATATTGTCAGCGCTATGAATTTTAAGTTTTTTCTACAAAAACATTATTATCGTTTACAAACTCTTTACTTTTATAATATGCTTTTTTACATAGGAAGTGTTTTATTCCAATAAACCTAATCTAAACCAGGTCAAGTTTTTTCATTATCTTATTCATTTTACTTACTTTTGTTGACTTTGGTAAAAGTGACTTCACTATCTGTCTCGCTCACTCATGGCAAACATGTCCACTATCCATCTCTCTCATCATTTTGCCGTAAAATTAAGCGCTTGTGTGAAGAAAAAAGAATTTATACTGGGTAAAATGGGTTAGAAAAAATTGGGTTACTTGAGGTTTTTATTTTATTATACGGTTTGTTTTAATATGAAACTAACAAGTATTGTACTATTTTATAATCCTGATTAAATGCGCGAACTTTTCATGGCACTTGCCAAGGCACTTTAGTACATTATTTTTAAAGGAGGGCCTTTCAAAGTCGACTAATATTAAAAATTTTAAATTCATGGTTTAATAGTCACAAATAGTCTTAATTCTAGAAAACTTGGGGCAATTGTGTCATTATTTTTTACTGTGATTCTAGAAATGTTATTTAGGGTAACAAAAATTAATCACAACAACCAAAGAATGATTACAGTTTGACCAAATTTCTAGGTTTTTCTTAAATGCCCATAATATTCAAATTACATGGGCTACATTTATTTTTTATTTTTGCCATGATGGTTACAATCAATCCTGTCATCCAGACGTTGAGTTCTGCGACAGCCTGTATGTAACACTGCTGGGTAACTATTGAGCTAATTGCAGCTATCGCACAACAATGGATGAACACAAGGACATTGTCTAATCTAGTACATTGTTACATATTGCCTCAATGACGGAATATACCTCTGTTAATGATCATCCGCCGGTCTGGTTATCCCTCGGGATTCCATTGTATGCTCGCAACAATGACGGAAGAGCAGAGGATTTTCGCTTCATTTGAATACGCAATAAATAGTAAAATCCAATGACGAACTTGTTAAAAAGAAATCACAGGCAAATTGCAACTCTATTTTTAAAAGTAATAGAAGTGGATATTTTAATTGATAAATAAAAAAAAAGAGAGCGCTTGTGTCTGGTATTTCATTCCAGTATACACTTAAAAAGTCATAAGTTGACTAATCTATACATATAAATAAAATTGTAGTGTCTGTTTGTAATATTAAAATAATCGTTTTTTACTACATGCATATGAATATAAATACGGTACATAACACCAAAATAACACTTTTTACATTTTTTGTCTGTCTGTCTGTTTGTTCCGGCTAATCTGTGAAATGGCTGGACCGATTCTGACGGTATTCTTTTTGCCAGATAGCTGATGTAATAAGGAGATACTTTTATTTAAGAAAACATATTTTATTACAGAAGAATAAAGATAGTACAGATAGTAATAAATAAACCTGGACAATTAACACAGCGCCATCTAGTCCCACGGTAAGCAGAGCTTGTATTATGGGTACTAGACAACTGATACAAATAAATAAATAACCCTGGACAATTAACACAGCGCCATCTAGTCCCACGGTAAGCAGACCTTGTGTTATAGGTACTAGACAACTGATATAAATAAATAAATAACCCTGGACAATTAACACAGCGCCATCTAGTCCCACGGTAAGCAGAGCTTGTGTTATGGGTACTAGACAACTGATATAAATAAATAAATAACCCAGGACAATTAACACAGCGCCATCTAGTCCCACGGTAAGCAGAGCTTGTGTTATGGGTACTAGACAACTGATATAAATAAATAAATAACCCAGGACAATTAACACAGCGCCATCTAGTCCCACGGTAAGCAGAGCTTGTGTTATGGGTACTAGACAACTGATATAAATAAATAAATAACCCAGGACAATTAACACAGCGCCATCTAGTCCCACGGTAAGCAGACCTTGTGTTATAGGTACTAGACAACTGATATAAATAAATAAATAACCCTGGACAATTAACACAGCGCCATCTAGTCCCACGGTAAGCAGAGCTTGTGTTATGGGTACTAGACAACTGATATAAATAAATAAATAACTCTGGACAATTAACACAGCGCTATCTAGTCCCACGGTAAGCAGAGCTTGTGTTATGGGTACTAGACAACTGATACAAATACTTAGATTTTTTTGTAAATACATCTTACTAATATTATAAATTCGAAAGTTTGTAAATGTTTATGGATAGAAGTTTGTTACTCTTTCACGCAAAAACTCCTGAACGGATTTTGATGAAACTTTACAGTAATATGGCTCGAATCATATATACTCTGTTTATTTTGCCGCGTTAATCTCAAAATCGACTGAACCCTTTTGGGTGCAGTTTTCACTAATACAACAAATTTTATGTTCAATTTATTCCAATTGGAAACAAAATTTCAGTTATTTGATTACTATGTGATCAATCCCCCGTCCAACCGGGGACCGAAATTACGACGGTCTGAGCCGAGGTTCGAACCCATAGTGCCCTCAGACTAAAGTTGTATCCGTCAGGCGGTGGTTAGTTAGTTAGAAATATCAGTTGAGGTTCTCATCAGTTCTTCTAAATCAGATTTATATACTGAACTGGACGGTAGGAAAAAAATATTATGTTATTCATAATAGCCTAAAATGTTCTATATGAATAAATAATTTTTGATTTGTTTTGTAATAAATAATAGTGCATTGGTAAAAATAAATTATTTAATTACATCAAATTTTTTTTATTCAATATTCCCAGATATTTAATAAAATGTTTTATACGAATAAATAACTTTTGATTAGATTTGTAATAAATAATAGTGCATAGGTAAAAATAAATTATTCAATTACTTAAATTTTTATTTATTCAATATTCCCAGATATTTAATAAAATGTTCTATATGAATAAATAATTTTTGATTTGTTTTGTAATAAATAATAGTGCATTGGTAAAAATAAATTATTTAATTACATCAAATTTTTTTTATTCAACTTTCCGCTCCAGAAGTTTAATAAAATGTCCTATATAAATAAATAATTTTTGATTTGATTTGATTTAATTACTTAAAAAAAATGTTTTTAATTCTTCTTTCGATTCAGAAATTTAATCCCAACAATGGAATTAAAGACCACGTCATAAAACCCCACTTAATCCCATTAAATGGCCATAAAGATTAGGCACAGTAAGTTTAACTTTACAAATATTACAAATTTATACATATTTAATTTCCCCGAGCGTTACAACTAAATGTAAATAACAGAGGGGCGGCAACCCTGTGCCGTGAAGGGTTGGTCTGTTTAAATTTAGACATAATCGATACGTACCCCGGCGTTTTTGTTAAGTGGAACCACTTCTCGTTTCGGTGGTAGCAGGTTTGAATTAAACTCCTGCATACAATAGGTGCTGGGGCAACCGCAAATGTGTGCTTACTGTGTAATATACAATTGCGTGCACTTGCAATTTAACTTCATTATATTTATTTTAGTAATAAATATCAGTGTTCGAGTAGTATTCAAACACGGTGGTTTTACAAGCAAAAAACCCTCATAAGTCATCATTAGGGCATCATTGTGGGGGTCCACAGGTGCTACTGACAGTCCCTTGTCGGGGCTGCTTTGAAACCGAAGAAATCGTACGTGAGCGATTTCTTTGAAGCACTTTTGAATAGTCATAACATCCCCGACAAGGGGCTGTCAGTAGCACCTGTGGGGGTCCCCGACAAGGGGCTGTCAGTAGCACCTGTGGGGGTCCCCGACAAGGGGCTGTCAGTAGCACCTGTGGGGGTCCCCGACAAGGGGCTGTCAGTAGCACCTGTGGGGGTCCCCGACAAGGGACTGTCAGTAGCACCTGTGGGGGTCCCCGACAAGGGGTGTCAAGTGTTGACAGAAATATTATGATAGCCTCGGTGATCTAATGGTTTAGCATACCGCTTTACTATCCGATAGTCGTGGGTTCGATTCCTCACACGGTACAAACATTTGTATTCATGAGTATAATTGTTTGTGTCGGTCTGGGTGTTTTCTATATATAATGTGTATGTATTTACAGAAAAATGTATCGATGTATTTATATCAGTTGTCTAGTACTCATAACACAATCTCTGCTTAGCTTAGGACTAGATGGCGCTGTGTGAATTGCCCTGAGATAGTTATTATTATATTACAAGTATCAGGCACGTATCCTTTTATGAAATCGGTCGAAAAAAATAACAAGCTTCTAACTTTATATCTCTTTTTAAATTTCCAACATACTTACTGGTGACGGTAAATACTGTAAACAAACCAAATTATCCATAAGTACATTCATGTACATTGTGGAAGCATTCGATTCCGTAAATAGGAACTGAGCAGTCGGAATACACATGTAATTTAATGAATGATTCAATTTAAAGCACGAAAGCGGACGAAACCGCAGTAAAACCAAGTATCTGTCAATACCAGGTTGTCTGTAAGAAATTGCTGTTAGTGATAAAATCACTTTTTTTTTATTGTTCTTTGTTTGTCTGTGCGCAATAAAGATATATGTTCTTATTCCTAACTTCCAAAAAAAATCTCATCTCCCCTCTTAAGGAGAGGAGATGGCAAAATACCCCCGGCAGAAGCACAGTCGGCCAGGGTTCAGGGCCCCAGGGAGAATCTAAGAGCACCACTTTCTTTATTATTATTATTATTAAAACAATAGTATAGTAAAGAACTATTACTTACTTGATAAAATAACTGATACTCAGTATCTGTGAGCCTCAGCGCCACCTCCTCAGGGAAGTGCAGTAGACTCTTCAAAGATGACAGTTCCTCGTAACTGGTGTCTTCCGGCGCTGAACCTGGAATAGAGAAGGTGATGAAGAGGTTTTTTAAAAAAAACCTATATTACTAATAGCTCTACTCGCGACTTCGTCCGCGTGGAACTTAGGCTACTTTTATTTTAGAAAAATAAAAATATATTTTTCTAAAAGTTACTCCTTATTTCATCAGCTACCCGCCAATAAAAGTCCCGTGAAAATAGTTAAGCCATTTCAGAGATTAGCCGGAACAGACAGACAGACGAAAATAAAAAAAAAAATTGGTTTATGTACCGTATTTATATTTGTGTGCATGTAGTAAAAAACGGTTTTTACAGTATTACAAACAGACAAACCAATTCTATTTATATATATAGATGTGATGATGAACTTGTGTTAGAATTCACATCATTATTGTAGAAAAATCCGATATTTTAAAAATATATTAAAAGAAGGTAGTTTGTTTTTAGTACTAATGAAGTACCCAATGTAAGGATTATTACGAATATTAGTAAATAGCGCCATCTAGTATTTATAGTCCGACCTACTACACTGACTTTGGTCTATAAATACGGAGGTCGGTAGTTGAATAATCCTCTTTCGTTGGGTGAGCCGCGGCATTCAGTCGACGAGCGCAGAGCGTGCCGGTTGTGTTTTGGATACTAGAGTGAATTGTATTAGGAATAGGTTTATCCCGGTCTTAGTTGAGCCTGGGGGGGGGAAGCTGCAAGTAGTGAAGGTGAGTGTTAATGACGCCTGAAACACTAGGGGTGTCACGTGCGCGTTGCCGACCCTTAAAAAACCTTATATACCCAAAAGTACTTACTTTCTTCATCTTTGTCGAATTCTTGCCCCGTCGAGGCGCCACTGGGCCCGTGTCTAAAACCTTCTATCATTTCACACGCACTTTGTTACTTAAAACAACACAATTTGTTATTTAAAATTAACGGAGTACGGTATAAAATTCACTGGCACTTCAATGTTCTAAACACACGCCATCTAGTGGTGAGTAGGTTGAACTTCATGATTGGAGCAGCGACATCTGTTGGGCGATAGCGTAGTTAGTCCTCATTATTCGCGTGTTTTTGAACTGCTCTCTGTAACAATACAGATTAACGGTTATTTTTAAAGTTTCGTATTTAATCTATACATATAAATAAAAATGAAATGTCCGTTTGTAATATTGAAATAACCGTTTTTTACTACATACATATGAATATAAATACGATACATACACCAAAATAACATTTATTAAAATTTTTGTCTGTCTGTCAGTCTGTTTATTCCGGCTAATCTCTGAAATGGCTGGACCGATTTAGACGGGACTTTTTTTGGCAGGTAGCTAACTAAACTAAAGGAATAACTTAGGCTACTTTTATTTTAGAAAAATTTAGTTAAATTCCACGCGGACGAAGTCACCGGTACAGCTAGTTGTAAATAAACTGGCTTTTAAAAAATCAAAATTAAATATTCAATTGAGTTTCTTGCCAGTTCTCCTCAATTGGATACATATACTGAATTGGACGATAGGGAAACATTTAAAAATGTAATATAAAATATTTGACGTTCATAAGCTGCTAAAATGTCCTACATGAATAAATGATTTTTGATTAAAAATAAATGTATATTGTGACATGTCGAGAATGCCACAGTGTTGTATTTGCGCAATCAATCACAGAAAGTAGTACAACAAATACTTGTTATACGATATGTTCGTATTAAATTCCGGACAGGGCCGGATTCTAGGCGCCACCGCCACAGACTTGTATAATGATAATAATCTCAGGACAATTCACACAGCGCCATCTAGAGCCAAGTTAAGCTAGCTAAAGCTTGTGTTATGGGTCCTAGACAACTGATACAAATACATAGATAATTTTTTTTTTTTCGTAAATACATACATATTATACATAGAAAATACCCAGACCGATACAAACAATCATACTCATGAATACAAATGTTTGTGCCGTGCGAGGAATCGAACCCGCGACCATCGGTCGTAAAGCGGTGTGCTAGACCGCTAGACCACCGAGGTCGTCACTACTATGTATACTTCATTTATTTACTAGCTGTGCCCGGAACTGGTATTGTAATAAAGTGTACATGTTTGATTGTGTACTGTATAGGATTGTAGTTTTAATTTAAATGTAAAGTTATTAGTATACTTAGTAGTTAGTAGTTGTACCTGCGACTTCATCCGCGTGGTTTATTTATACCCGGGCGAAGTCGGGGCGAGTAGCTAATATAAACAAACTTAGTAAACTTATTTACTACAATATAAACCTTCCTCTTGAATCACTCTATTTATTAAAAAAACCGCTTCAAAATCCGTTGCGTAGTTTTAATGTTTTAAGCATACATAGGGACAGACGGCGACAGCGACTTTGCTTTATACTATGTAATGATGAAGAAATAATTAGCTTAAAATTTACAAATAAAAAAATAAGAGATGCAAATTTGTTTTAATACAGTTGCTGAATATATTAAGTAAGAATGAGTTTTTTTTCGGACTACTCTGATGCTGTTGTCCGAAGCTGGCCTTTACAGCTTCACCGGACGATAGGGGCGAGTGCAGATGGCACTCCAAACCAAAGGAAGGACTTATGGAGCGGCTGAAGGCCAACTCCCGCCTGACGGATACGACTGTAGTCTGAGAACACCGCTAGGGGTTCGAACCTCGACTCAGGCCGTCTTAATTCCGATCCCCGTTTGAATTGGACGGGGGATCGATCGGAGGGGGAAAAATGACACTCTTGGTACGTTTTTTATATCTAAATATATATAACTCAAAGGTGACTGACATAGTGATCCATCAACGCACAGCCCAAAACCACTGGACGGATCGGGCTGAAATTTGGCATGCAGGTAGATGTTATGACGTAGACATCCGCTCAGAAAGGATTTTGATTAATTCTACCCCTATGGGGATAAAATAGGGGATGAAAGTTTGTATGAAACTTTGTCAATTTTAAACCGATCGGGCTGAGACTTTGCATGCATAAAGCTACTATGACGTAGGCATCTCCTAAGAAAGAATTTTGATAAATTCCACCCCTAAGGGGATAAATTAACGCGAGCGAAGCCGCGGGCAAAAGCTAGTTCACTCTATATTATCAATAACACAACCGGCTCGAATACTCAAAAATTCGCGTGGATTCCGAAAATGGGACAACATTGCGTCCCCGTCAACAGTCCCATTCAAATCGGGACGTGTAGTCCCGTTACCCATCCGCCCTTAATACGTCCCAGGCGGGGGATAGTTGGGGTGCGTCACGTGACGCACCGTCATCGTATCTAGGCACTCCCGCCTGCACCTGATACTCGATATTTTTCCATCTGCTTTTATAAAATATACATTTTTATTCCAGTACTAGCTGTCGCCGCGGTTTCCCCCGTGTGGAGAATAAAGCTTATGTGTTATTCTATAATACGTACACAGACATACACACACACACACAAAAGCTAAATAGTAAAATAATAATTAAGTTTACATGTAAAGACTGTCTCGGTGGACTAGCGGTTTAGCACATCTTAATTCCGATGGTCGCGGGTTCGATTCCTTGCACGGTGCGAATATTTATATGATTAGAAATCACCTGATACAAACGTATCAGGTGATTTCTATGTAAAATAATAAAAATATTTATATCAGTTGTCTATACAAACACAAGCTCTGCTTACGGGGACTAGATGGCGCTGTGTTATTTATTTATTGGTATAAGTAGTTATATCAGTAGTCTAGTACCCATAACACAAGATCTGCTTACCGTGGGACTAGATCGGGACAGCCCCATCTAGTCCCACGGTTTATTTATTATTTGGCCAAGGTTCACGCGGGCGAAGTCGCGGCCACAGCTAGTACTTATTTGGTAAGGGTCACTATTACACGCGGACGAAGTCGCGGCCACAGCTAGTACTTATTTGGTAAGGGTCACAATTCCACGCGGACGAAGTCGCGGCCACAGCTAGTACTTATTTGGTAAGGGTCACTATTCCACGCGGACGAAGTCGCGGCCACAGCTAGTACTTATTTGGTAAGGGTCACTATTCCACGCGGACGAAGTCGCGGCCACAGCTAGTACTTATTTGGTAAGGGTCACTATTCCACGCGGACGAATTCGCGGCCACAGCTAGTACTTATTTGGTAAGGGTTTTCCACAATCAGCCGATAATAAATTCCACGCGGACGAAGTCAATCATTTGGTAATGTTTGGCAAGTCGCGGCCAATGTACTTATTTGGTAAGTTATAACTTCGCGGCCACAGCTATACATTATTTGGTTGCCATTCCACGCGGTTCGCGGCCACAAGTCTTATTTGTCATTCCACGCGGACGAAGTGAACGAGTACTTATTTGGTAAGTAAGGTCACTATTACACGGTCTCGCTCTTATTTGGTAAGGGTCACTATTCCACGCGGACGAAGTCGATTTAATACTTATTGTGTATTTCCATATTTGAAGTCCGGCCAATTAGTGCTTATTTGGTAGTTTGTATTCCACGCACGTTTCGCGGCCACTTATAAATATTCCACGAACTTACACAGGATTATTTGGTAAGGGTAACACACAAGTCTCGCGGCCGTTATTCTTGTATTTTTGGTATTTGTTTTAACTATTCCACGCGGACGAAGTCGCGGCCACAGCTGGTTTGTATTCACACACTTAAACTTAAATTGTAAAGTAAGAACAAAATTATTTGGTAAAAGAGCAACGAAGTCGCGGCCACAGCTTACTTATTTGGTAAGTTCTTTCTTGTGACGAAGTCGCGGCCAACGAGTGGTAGATAAAACGAAATTGTTATGACTATTCAAAAGTGCTCACAGCTAGTACTTATTTTATTTTCCACGACGATCGCGGCCACAATGATTTTCTATTCTATTACTAATATGTTCTTATTTGGTAGAGGGCATTCCAGAGAGAAGTCGCGGCCACAGCTAGTACTTATTTGGTAAGGGTCACTATTCCACGCGGACGAATTCGCGGCCAATATTATTTATGGGTTTAATATTAAAGTATATTAATTTGTTTGGATCAGAGTGCTGGTCCATAAAGGCGACGGATGAGAGACGACTTATTTGCATGCAACTATTCCACGCGGACGAAGTCGCGATGGATGTGTGGTGTGATTCCACGCGGACGAAGTCGCGGCCACAGATAAAGAATGAATCACATTCCACGCGGACGAAGTCGCGGCCACAGATGTCAGAGAGGTTAAACGCGGACGAAGTCGCGGTCTATCGTGGTACTTATTTGGTAAGGGTCATGTTCCACGCGGACGAATGAAGATCTTATTTGGTATCACTATTCCACGGGACGAAGTCGTTCCAGCAGTACTTATTTGGATGGTTATTCCACGCGGAAGTCGCGGCCAGAGAAACTTATTTGGTAAGGGTCGAAAAAGAGATGGACTATTCCACGCGGACGAATTCGCGGCCACAGCTAGTACCATATCCTACTCGGAGTTTTCCCAATCAGCCGATAATAAATTGGGCCAATTCAATCAAATGTTTGGCAAGTAATGCTTAAGTTATAACTTCAACTTATACATAGGGTTGCCATCCGTCCAGGTTCCCCCGAATCCGTCATACTCGTGAACGAGTGCTGCTTGTAGTGACTGGTCTGCTCTTATCACTACGACTGATTTAATCTTATTGTGTATTTATATTTTATAGGGTCCTATTAAATTAGTGCTGGTTTATTCACACGTTTCGACTTGTAAATGTAAACTCACAAGGATTATTTAAAAGAGCAACACACAAGTCTCTTGCTCGTTATTCTTGTGATTTTTTCTATTTGTTTTAATTGAATTAGTGCTAATTGGTGGTTTGTATTCACACACTTAAACTTAAATTGTAAAGTAAGAACAAAATTATTTAAAAGAGCAACACGCAAGTTT